GTAGTTATTCAAATTTTATCTTACTAACGTTACAGTCTTTTAGACTTCTTCCTGCTGAGAAACTACTGCATTTTGTTCTTTTTTTTTGGTTTATAATTTTATATTCCTCACTATGAACAAAAGAATCGCAGCGCATCTGTATACCAGACTTTATTGATAGTATCAAGCAATGTGTAAAGTTTAATAAAATGGAGCATCATAAGAGGGTTATTTGTGTTGCTAATTTCATAAACAGGAAAACAACAGATAGAAAATGAAGAGAAAAACAAAAACTTTTTTTTAATTTTTCTCTGCAACTAATAGTACTTTTTTGTCTTTAAGAGCTATCGCAGATACATACAGAGAAACGTTTGATAATCCGGGAGATACACTGAGGTTATTTATACCGGCAGTGATTTTTAGCTTCGAAAATCATTTAAGAGTTACTGCTAATCGTTTTCTAATGGCAGCTGAAGCTAAGGTAAAATTATCATACTTTTTTAATGCCTATTTGGTTTTGGTTACATTAAAGGTGGCTATATTAAGATTTATCTAATTTTTTGTTGACGCTATTACTATTTTTTATTGGTATAAATAATTTGAGTATAAAAAAATTTTTTTTTTGTATTTTTCAGTTATTAAAAGAGCTGAATTTAATAACGACAAGTTTCTCATGGGTAATAATAAATAATCGAGACTTATCACCATTACAGTGTTGTGCAGTTGCTTTGATGTTTTCAGGATGTAATTTAATTCAAATGGTAAGCAAATGAATGACAGAAATTAAGTATTTGTTAGATTTATCAGTTATATTGCTAACAGTTAAATTTGTTCTACCAAAAAAAAATTAAATTTAAATACCAATCTGTGTATTAGTGTTAAGATTGCTTCATTAAATTACTTAAGTTTATTATTAATTGTTGGAAATTTTTATCATTAAAACATGTTCATCAATTTTTTGCTTGGCAAAATTAAGAATTTTCTGCGCTTAAACAGCTATATATTTTTTTTTTTGCTTTGCCTATTGCTAACCATTTTGTAATATCATTTTACATGCAACATTTTTTGCAAATTTTTCCTGCAACAAAAATAAACTTGTTGCTTATCATATGTCATTTTAAAAATCAAAAACTGCTACAATTTTTTTTTTTAGAACTAACGAAAAAATGTGTGAGTAGAAAAAAAAATTTTTTTTTCTTGTAGTATTATACTTTTCTGCCTTAGAATTGATCTTTTCTATTAATGTTATTGTTGACTAATTAAAAAACAAAATCTTTGTAGTTTTATTAAGCCAAATGTAACAAATGACTTACTCGTTTAGTGTTTAGGATCAAAGAGACTATACGTTTAAAGTTGAGAGTCCACAAATCAGAGAAAATACTTTGAAAGATGCATTGAGTAGCGACGATCAACTGCCATATGGATCAAATGCACCATTAGGTCTTTTCATGCTTATATGTATCGCAATTTTGTCAGGTAAATTATGCTAATTAGTCACACTTTTTAATAGCTTTTTTAAAACCTTTCTGCTTTGTCTCGACTTGAATAAATTTAGTTTTTGAGTGATTTCACCATTTGCAAATTCTTATTTTTAAAACCACAGATTTCGTTTACAGCAGTGCTGTACCGTATCAAAGCTGTAAGCCGCTAATGTCTTCATCATTTTTTCAGTTTTTTATCAATAATCTTACAACTTATCCTTCAAAATAATACAAGTATTCGTCATAAAAACTGAGAAGAAAGCAACTTTCAAACAATAATAGACTATTTTCAAAACCTTGCTTCTACTCAATTCTCAGTTTTTGTTACTTTCTTATGCGGTTTGAAAAAGCCTTTAAACGTACTTATGTTGTAACCAGGTATTTTATAATTGTATTTTAGAAACAATGGAATACTCTGCATTATACCTTCGTAGCATTTCTTATCAAGAGTCAACTAGAGAAATGTTTAGATCAGATGCTTACTGTAGACTACTGGATTTTATAATCCAATTTTTTTTTTTTTTGAAATGGAGGAAGGGTTTTGAAGCAGTAATATGTAGAAAACTCTAAAAAAAGATGCTACTTGAAGAATACCATTTCAAATTTACATAATACCTTTTTTGATCTCAAGTGACAGCGTTTGAATCATAAAAATTTGTTCGTATTTTTCTTGCCTGCCTGCAAAAACTGATTAAAAAAAAATTATTTTTAAAAAATTTTAATATTCTGATGAATTGTATTGTTTTTTTTTTTTGGTGTGTTTTTACCAGCTCGATAATTTAATAAATTTTTATTTTTAGGCTTTGCTTTACCGTACTATGAATATGTGATAAAACGTAAACCAAAAGTTTCAATATGGATGCGAAATTTTCAAGTGTCATTCTTCTCATCATCGTTTGGGCTTATTTCAGTTTTAAGTGATGTAAGTTTCATTTATAGTATTGATTTGATTATTTGATACATACATACTTTTGACAATTTTCAAATTTCATTGATTAAATTATTTATTAAATTATAATTTTATATTTTTTTTGTTAGATATGCTAAAGGGTTACTTTAAGTCTATTTTCAGACAGCTGCTCGAGAAGCTTTCGTTGCAAACTACTTGACAGCTGACCTCTCATTGTATAGTGCCGCAATTATAGGCGGACGAAGTTTACATTCACTATTTACCGGAGTTTCTCTGAAGTTTGCAGATGCTGTTATGGTTTGCTTCTGTCATGCTACAGCAATAATACTGAGCGGTCTTGGTGCAATAAAACTTTTCAAATATATACCTGGTATAAGATTCTACTGTGGAGCTCTTGTATCTGCAATGGCAGCCTTTGCTTTTGTACTTTTTCCACCAGTAAATGAGGTTAAAATCCTTAAAAAACTCCGTAAAAGATCAAAATCGTTTGTGCAGAATTCTGAATGAGATGTTCAGTACTGTTAGTATTCGTAGTAACAAATTAATTGTTATAAAATCATCTTATATTTACGTCTAGTTTATGCAGTATATTAAGAAAATTTGTTCTTAAAAAACAAAAGAGCTGCGTGAAAACTTTACGTCAGATATAAAACTGATAATGCTTTTGTGCTGCTTTTAAGTTGTTAATTGTTTAAAATGGAATAATCAGCACTTCAAATTAGAATTGATAAATTGTTTCTTTAATTGTTAATGTAGGTTTTGCTATATTAGTAGTTGTATGTTAAAAAGAATTTAGCGTCTGTTGTTACAGCGTGCTTTATTTTTTTGAATCACCTAATGGTTTATTTACCTTTAACTGTTGACAGATAAATATAGTTTCTAAAATACAATTTATTTAGGCAGTGTTATAAATATTCATCCGTATTCATTTCAGTAGATTCTAATAGTTAAGGTTTGAACGATAACTTTAACACTTTTTTTGGGTACTGTAATTGTTCGATAGTTTGGTCGTTGCAAAATGTGATAATTCATCAGGTTATATGTGAAGTGTTTCTACACACTCCCCCCTCCCCCCCTCTTCCAAAAAAAAAAAGGTCAGTGTTATTTTTCCTAAATCTGCTATGAAAAACATCAAATGAAAAGAAGAAGTACCTGTTAAATTATTTATATATTCTTCTTTTGGTTTTGATGACAAGACAAGGTTCTTTTAAGGACTTTGAGAATACAATTTGTCAGATACAGACGTAGACCACTGGCCCTATTAACATTTATTTTTCTGGTAGAAATTTCACGCTCTTTATAACGTTTTTCTTTAAATCCTAAACAGAAACTGTTACTTTATTGGATGTGCGAGGTTTTTTTGTCTTCAAAATTTTAAAAATTCAGAAACTTTTTTGCTCATCAAATATTCTTCTACTTTCAATTTTTTAATTTATAACTTCATATAAGAATTTTAGATTTTGAGTTTAAGAGAACATTTTTTTGCTTCTTTTACTTTTTTCTGTCTGATTTGTACTGTTTTTTAAGTTTAAAAGCTGGCTTATTGAAGACTTCTGGCTTCAGTCTACAGATTTGTCATGAACATAAAATAACTGCAAATTATATTCGGGCGATTAATGAAATAAATTTGCTGGCAGTCTCTTATGGTTTTCAATTCTTCTTCTTTTAAACTTATGTTTGTTGCACGCCACCCCTTAGTGACGTGAATTTTTATAGCTGAACATTGTCAACAGTTGACAAAGTCTGATAAGTCTACTGCATAGTGCTGAATAATCTGCCAGCAAAAACGTCTGAAAAGGTGATTTAAATAGAGAGAAAACGATGAGGAAGAATGGAATCTGAAATATCCTGTAGTATTCAGATAGCGATGTTGAAGACAAGACAGCTGAAAAAATTTTTTTAAAAGTCATTCTAGATACTCCTGCATGACCGTTTACGATAAGCAATTGCCCGACAGTCAGAGGCAAATAAAGTTGACGAACTTTCCCGGGAAAAACTTTTGAATTTTTACACAGATATATACAGTAGTTTTTTTGAGCACTAAATATCAGTGTTCAAAAATGAGTATAGATGTCAGTTGCACTCACTGGAAATGTAAAACTTTTGCCATACTGGACAAACGGTCAGTCATTTTGTGAAGAAAGTTTATAATCGGGCACGTTATTCATGAAAAAGGAAAAAAAAAGTGTAGAAATAATTTGTACCCAAAATACTTCAAAAAATTTTACTTTATGCGACAGTTAAGAAAACGGCAAAATAAGTTGTTTTTGAGAAGTTGTCTAGAAGAATAATTCTATAAACAACAACTAACTGAAACAGCCTGCTAAACAGAAATTTTGATTATGAGTCGCATAATACTGAACAGTAATGAGCCCTTAAAAAGATGTTTATCCTTTACCATTTTTGATTAAAAAATTAACAATTTTTTATGGAAGATACATCAATTATAAGTAGCAATTCTAAAATATTTTTTAAATCTGACAGACTAACTGTACTTTAGATTCCCATCAAAACTGATAATATTTTATTTTTTTAATTTTTTTTTTTTTTTTTTT